GGATGCAGAAGCTGACATGTTCTTTGCAGGCAACTTCGACCCAATCGTACTTAGAAGAATAGCGGTGGTGCCCTGCTGACGAAATTGTCCTCCAGAGGAGCATCAGTTACAGGGCTTCTTTGTCAATGAGGCCGAATGCTTAAACCGCTTGAACTTCTTTTATTAGCAGGCTGTCAGACAGCCCTGCATACTGATACCCCAACTATCTGCAGGGTGGGAACGGGTCTGTGTCATTTACATATGAAAGTTATGTGTGTGGATAGTAGCAATAGAGAAATTATGTCTGTTTTTATCACTCTTGTGTGACACGGCGGTGTGGGCAGCACTGAAATGCTGATGACATCTGAAGAGGAAGACAGCCACCGTTTTTATATGTTCCTCTTGACATTTCCTTGATCAGCTTGTTGAATAACAGAAATGTTCATGATACCTTTGCAGCTTGAAAGCAGCTCTCCAAACGCCCATCCAGTGTGCTTTTTTCCAACAATAACCTCGAGTTTTAAAGGTGGACAGGGAACGTGTTTGTAGGCTGTGTGGAGAATTGCAAGAACTTCCGAGTGCTACCATGTTTACTATGAAGATTTACATAAAGTCATTTAACGAAGGATTTTTTATTTTTAAACCGAATCAGCTTTAAGACTGTGCTGTTTGGTTCCATATGTTGTATATTATTGTTGTGTGCCATCGAGTTGAAACCAACCCATAGCTGACCCTCCAGTAGGCTAACAGAGGCAGGTAATCATATGTGAGATTGCCCATCCTTCTTCAGCAGAGCAGCTGGTGGATTTGAACCACGTGCCTTTGGGATGGCAGCGCAGGCTCTTACCACTCAGCTTCCAGAGTTCATAACTAGGATAGTAGAAGCAGATGGTTCTGTGCCAGTTATCTGCCCCATTTTTGTTATCTCCCACCAGCTTGTTAGCTTACAGGTTTCTCTTCAGTTTGATGCTGGTGTTAGGTGCCATGCGTGGGTGCCTGTGAACAGCAGTTCTACTTCTTGGCCCTGTACTGCGCCATCCCCGCTGACGTGTGGCTTTCCTTTCTCTAATCCTTCACCTTTGCCAAGATGCTTTATTTTTCCAAGGACCGGCCCCTCCTTGGGTTTTAATACAGTGTGTGTACAATGCCCAAGTCAAGTAATGTTCCACCTCTTAGAACATGTCACGGACATTGAGCTGTGCGTGCCTGTGTGTAGCTCAGAGTTTGCAGGCAGCACGGCCCCTGACAGCACTCTGCTCTTGTAGCTCTAACGCTCCCATCCACAGTTCCTAAAGGCCTGGGTGCCTGCATGCAGTGAGTGAACGCCAAATGAGAATTACTTGTATGTTTTCACATGTCACATTTTTTTATTAAATTTTAATTAGTTTTAATGAACATTTACAGAGATTTTGGGTTTTCATTCATTCATTGTTGCACTGTTTTCTCCACCCTCATCCCCAGTTCGTTCTTCTTCCCCCCCAATGTCTGTTTTAATTGTCCAATTGCCACAGTGCTTGTCAAAGCCAGTTCTGATTAATCTCCTTTGTCAGTGTGTCCTTTGCCATTCCCTATCACTCCTCCCTGAGAGAGACTTCACCCTGATTCATAAGGAAAAGTGGATGGCGTATTCTCTTAGCTACTTCCTGTTGAAAAGGGACGCTGTGGATTTCAGGGTGAAGGCCTTCTCTCACTACTCTAAAGGGCCCCTTTGGCAGTAGGAAACACATAGACTATTATGGAGATTGATTTTGGAATTTAGATGCACTATTATCAATTGCACTTAGCCGTACATGTTCATATCCTTGAAGATGTATCATGGAAGTGTTGCAGCCTAGAAGATACAAATTTAACAAGTTAAAAGTGCATGAGTCAAAAATTGAAAAGCAATAATATTCTGAGTAGAGGTTCTAATAGTGGCACAAATCAAGTTATAGAGGTAGGGTGGTTCCATTGCCATCCTTACTCTAACTTAATTCTTTTTTTTTAATTTAAATTTGTTATTAATTTCAGTGAAAATTTACAGAGGCTTTGGATTTCCATTCATTCATTGTTGTAGATTTGTCCCCTCCCAAGGCTCCCCCCCACCAGACATTACCCTCTTGGAAGCAAACCAAACAGTTGGGGCCAGCACACACACACACACACACACACACACACACACCCCCACCAGACATTACCCTCTTGGAAGCAAACCAAACAGTTGGGGCCAGCACACACACACACACACACACACACACACACACACCACCACCACTCATTACCCTCTTGGAAGCAAACCAAACAGTTGGGGCCAGCACACACACACACACACACACACACACACACACACACCCCACCACTCCACCCCCCAGGCTGTCATTTGCAGGCTTCTGTTAGGAAACGACCACAGGTGTGTGCTCTTGCACTGTTACAGATCTGTGAGAGCAGGCTGGCAAGGGGGGCCCTCCGAGGCATACCCTTGAGTAATTATCAGGGACTTCACCAGGGCTCCCCCTCAGACCCAGCATGAGGAAGGGAAGCGAGGTGTCCGCTTTCAGCCCGTGTGAGAGAGGACTGGACTGGAGTGCTGTCTGTCCCCGGACCCCAGCTCATCAGTGTGCATGCCTGGGTACCCAGCTATTACCTCCAGTTTTGTTTTCGGGACGTCAGATAATTGCCTTGGCTGTTGAAGTGTGACTCCATCCTGCATTGTATGTAGCATGTTGCTTGTTTAGTAGCCTGTTCTATTTCTACCTGATTTCACAAAAGCTGTGTTTAATTTGGAAAGCCTGAGTAGAATTACTGTTAAACTCAATAGCCAAGTGAAATACAGTGTCTTACCGGCAATGTGTGCGCAAAGGCGTGCGTCTCAAGTTCCTGGAGCAGAATTGTTTACACATCTTCTCTGAGTTCTGAATTCTGTCTCTGATTTTACTTGTTTTTATTTGGGATATTTGATGATAGTGTTTTCTAGAGGTAATATCTTCCGTCTACCTTCTTTCTGTTTGTTATTTATAACCACAACTATCTGATCACTAAAGTTCATTCTAATTTCCTTAGGAAAAAATGTTGATGCTGGTTTTAGCATAAGGACATTCAAGTTTTTCTGTAGCATTCTCTTTTATTTTTTGTGACACTGCAACTGTGGTTTTTCAAGAGGGGCAGTGATGGTGGGGAGGGCGTGGTCACTCAATGATGGCTTGCCTGTTCCTGGGATGCTGACCAGATTTCAGCTGAACTTCCAGATTAATGCAGAACAGGAAACAGCAGCTTCCAGAGTTCATCCCGTGAAGCCCACCGGGTCAGAGTCAGGGACTGGCTCAGTGATCCTTCAAGACACTCTAGAATATACTTTTTTTTTTAAGCTAGAGAAGTTTATTCTCTCACAATGCTGAGGGCTAAAATTCTAAAAGAGCAGAACACTGCTTAATGATTAGTAATTTTGTAGTTTACAGGTACAGAAATTAATTAAGTGGTAGAAAAGATGATCCACGGATATAAACTGTCTGTGGAATTAGGATGCTACGCCTGTACTTGTTCTGTGACCCTTTCAGGCACTCTGGGCAGCTCCTTGTCCATTCCCCTGGCCTGGCTCTCCACTCTGTCCTGAATCAGAAGTGTCTTCCGTCTGCTACTCGTCAAAGCACTTTTTACAGGCTTCCATGTCATACGAACATCCCCGACAGGGTTTTCTTACTCTCCTTAAGGTTTTCACATTTTTAAAGACGTAGGTCACCAGGTCCCTTTCTTTTAGTCTCTGTTAGTCTCGCATTTATGTGCCATACGCCAGAGAGCTGGACAATGACTAGGGATGATAGAAGGAGAATTGATGCCTTTGAGCTGTGGTGCTGGAGAAGAGTGCTGAGGGTACCATGGACTGCTAGGAGAACAAGCAGGTTCATCCTAGAGAGGGTGAAGCCAGGCTGCTCCTTGGAGTCAAGGATTCTGAAGCTTTGTCTGACATACTTTGGGCATGTTTCAAGGAGGGACCAGTCCTTGGAGAGGGACGTCATGCTTGGGAGGGTGGAGGGACAGCGCAGGAGAGAAAGACCCTCAATGAGATGGATTGATTCAGTGACTGGGGTAATGGGGTAGGTGTGTCAGAGACAATAAGATTGGCTCAGACTAGAGCAGCGTTTAGGTCTCGTGTACTTAGAGTCGCTGTGAGTCACAGGCGACTTGACAACACTGACACATGACAACAAGAAGAACATTAGTCTGGAGGCCACTCAAGAGCCCACGCACCAGGGAGGACGCTGTCTGAGGACAGTTTACTGAAGGCAAAGTGTAGCTTTGTTCACTTGGAGGAGTCGGCCGTCCTCTTAAAAGCACAGTGGTGGTGCAAAAGCCGAATCCTCCCCTCCTGTCCGGTGCCCCTTGTGCCCAGCCACCACGCGGCCTTGTATCTCAGACCCTGAGCAGCTCTCAGCCGCACTGCCAGACCACGACCAGAACCTAGGCAGGGCCGTGCTGGGAGTTTTAATCATTCATAACAAAAAGAGAGACAGGCCTGGCAGTCAGATTCTAGAAATCACCCGTGAAAACCCTGGGGGTCAGTAGTGTGACCACATTGTGCACCAGGTCCCTGTGAGTTAGAGTTGACTGGACAGTGGCCATGTTCACCAGGCTTCAGCCTCCGAGAAATTGCTTCGTCTCTTGAGACAAGTGGCCGCGTGCAGAGTATTTCTGGTTCTTCCTGAAGCCCTTCTCTCTGAAGGGACCATTGTTAGGCCTTTTCAGTAGTCTTTAGACCTACATACTTTGTTTTTAAAAAAATTCTATTTTGAGTGAAAGTTCACACAACAAACCAGGGTCAGTGAAGGAGAGGAAGACCCCCAAGGAGATGGGTTGAGACAGTGTCGCAGCAATGATGAGGAGGACACAGGACAGGACAGGGTCCAGGTTCATGGGCTCTCCACGAGTCGTACCTGACTGGACGGCACCTAACAACAACAGTCCATGGGGCTCCATTTGTCAGCCTGTGTCTGCATCCTCCCCAGGCCCCAGACGCACCGTGTTCATACACCTGTCTTCTCTCCTAGGACCTCTCTGGCTCCATCGACGACCTGCCCACGGGAACTGAGGCCACTCTGAGCTCCGCGGTCAGTGCCTCTGGGTCCACGAGCAGCCAGGGCGACCAGAGCAACCCAGCCCAGTCGCCCTTCTCCCCGCACGCGTCCCCGCACCTCTCCAGCATCCCAGGGGGCCCGTCCCCCTCTCCTGTCGGCTCTCCCGTGGGGAGCAACCAGTCGCGGTCCGGCCCCATCTCTCCTGCAAGTATCCCAGGTACTGCCGTCCTTAATCGTTGTGTCTGACTTTGTAACGAGGTCTGGACTCAGGCCAGTCCTGAATTCTACCTGTAGAAAATCTGCTGGTGAGATACAGATGTCACCAAAGCGTACAGCAGTTCCAGGTCCAGTACCACCACCGGCCAGCAGGGTCTCCAACCCCTGGACTGTTTGCACTTCACACATTGGTCACAGCTCATGCCAGACCACAGCAGTATTTATTGACCAGTATTGGCTGTGTTTTTGTGTTTGTATGGTTCTGTCTCAATATATACACTATGAATGTTATTTGCTGGAGTAATTGTTGGAGCTGGTACTTGCCTGTGTTCATTTGCCTGCGTATTCAAGGCCTCGGTACTGAGCTGAATTGTCACCTTCGTTGTTGAGGCAGCGAGTTCATGTTCGACTTCACCTAAGTGTTTGGTTATTCCAGGAATCAGACGTTACCTGAACGTTCTAGTTCGTCTATGATATACTTCAGTTTAGTTGCTTATTTTGTGATTGCCTCGTCTTCATCGTTTATCCTATGTGAAACTTCATCCTTTTAAACCCTCCGAGTGGCTCAGCTCTTGAGGACTTCGGGGATTACTAGGGGCTGACACCATGCCTGCTGTCTCAGCGAAAGGGTCCCTTTTTCTTTTTTTAATTTATTAATTTTAATGAAAGTTTACAGAGACTTAGGATTTCCCGTCATTCACTGTTACACTTTTCTCCCTGCCTACCCGCTCCCCCCAGTTCACTCTTCTCCTTGAAAAGAAAGAGAAAAACTCTTTCATTGTTATACAATCCCTTCCGCAAAGTTCACTCCACTGGGCATCCTTCACTCTGGACTTCTGCAATGACAAGAATACCCATTCATATATTCCTTTTAAGCAGATCCCTCCCTTATCTGTTTCAATGCAGTATACATCATTCCTCACCTCCTTTTCTGTCTTCCCTCAACCCCGATGCCAGTCCCATTTTACAACAGTAGCCCTATGCAGTATTTGTCCTTTTGTGACTGAGATATTTCACTCCGCATCATGTCCTCCAGGGTCACCCATTTTTTTATAATACTTCATGAGTTTCTTGTTTTTCAGTACTGCACAGTATTCCACTGTGTGAATATACCAGAGCTTCTCTATCCATTCATTTGTTGATGGGCACCTGGGTTGTTCCCAGCTCTTTGCTGTTGTGAACAAAGCCACAATAGACATGGCTGTGCATAAGGGTCCCCATTTCCAGCTCACACAGTGGAGACAGGGAGCAGCCAGAAACCCTGGCTGAGACGGTGGGAAACCTCCCCGCCTCTCCTAGAGAGGGCTTGGGTTCCAAAGACCAGGTGGTTCCGGAAGAACTGCCGTTGTTCAGAACAGAGGAAACAGAGGATCACCACAGCACATCAGAAGTTGAAGGGAGTGATCGTTTGAAAATTGCCACAGTTCCCCCTCTGACAAGCCGGAACCATAATGGCCCAGTGCACACGTCCTTCTGTCCACCACAGCCGGCATCACTCTTGCCTTGGTGTTCGGCACTCCACCTGCCTGTTGCTCGTGCAGAACAGCCGGATTGTTTCTTTTCCCCCCACTGCTGTCACAGAGTCAGATAGCACGAGCAGTGATGGGGGGAGCAGGTGTAGCATAACTTGAATGCAGATGTTAACTGTTTTTCCACTTTCTTTCTATTCCCATAGCTAAATCCAGAGATGCAAACATAAGGTTTTGCTATATAATCAAAATAAACAAAATATATAAGCAAAATAAGGTTTTTTTTAAATATATTTAAGTAGAAATTTTTACATTATTTAAAGAAATTTGTTGTAGAAAACTATGCCAAGTTTTTAGTGGTGTGGTGGTGCTTTTTTTGTAAAAAAAAACAAGCCAAACATATATGTCCTTTTTCTCCTTCCCTTCTTCACCTAACCTTCCTTTTGTTTCAAAACACCATTTCCATAAGTTTTATATCCTTATTCCCTGTAGATACTAGTATGTTTATGTGGGGTGTGGGGGTGTGTGTGTGTGAATTTAGTCACAGGTAATACAGCCACATTTCAGAGATCAGTGTTGTTACTTACTCACTTTATTTTCATTTACTTTTAACCAATGATAAGATCCCTGCATTTAGAGAGTAAGGTCCTGAACAATCTCACCTCCTCCTTTGCCTACCTCTCGTCCTTATGTAGAGTCCATAGCCCTTGTGGCACAGTGGCTAAGCCTTCACCCACTAACCAACTAGTCAGTAGTTCAAGGCCATCAGCCTCTCTGTGAAAGATGTGGTAGTCTGTTTCCACCAAGAGATGAAAGGTCTGAACTGGCCCAGAAGGACCTGAGAGGACAGGCCTGGTACCTGTTTCGGCCAAGTCACCTCCTTAAAAACTAGATGGAGCAGATGTAGGTTCTAATCCACGCACGGGGCTGCCAGCGGTCCGAATGAATCCACCAGAACATAACAGCAGCACTAGAGTCTCTGCCCACACTTGTTATTGATCATGCATTAGAGCCTAAGACCATTCGCACGCGTTTATTCCACGTCTCCAGTCGTGAAATGTGAATGCTGTGCAGAGACTGCGTGTTCCTCACGGGGGTGGGACCGAGCTGCTCCCTCGCAAGCATCCACTTGGAATTTCCTTCTGGTTTTGGACATGGAGCCAGCCTTTTGCCTTCTGCCTGCCCCCGAGTTCCCAGCACAGCCTGCGATTCCTGACCTCACTTTGCACCCCTTCCCGCCCTCTCCAGCTCCTGGCTGCCTCTCCATGTGTCACCGCCCAGCCCTTCCTGTCACTGTCTCCCCAGCATTGTAACATGGGCGGCTCTTGTGATTGTGGTAATCAGGGTAAGGCAAGGCCGCAGTGCTGTGTTTGTGGAAGGAAGGCAGCCGTGTTTCTCCATCTCTGAACAGAACGCACAGCTAAGGAAGGGTCCCACAGATGGAGAAGGCTGAACCCCATAAATCACTCCCAGAGGCTGACTCAGGGAATCTTCCTTTTAAACAGTTGGTCCATCTATCTCAGATCTGCCTCCACCGTGTTTACTCCCAGCGTTGTGTCACGGGGCTCTAGAACAGCTCCCACCCTGCAAAGTCTCATGCGATGGGCGTCCCCACTACCCCTGCGAGCTCTCCAGGAAGTGGGGTGGTGGCTTTCTACAGGAGCAGCTACGGGGACCCCAGCCTCTGTCCACACATGACTGGACTCTCGTAATGCACCACCCCCAACTCCACACGAATCGCGTACACTCGGGCTGCTGGTGGGTCCACAGCCATCAGAGAACCGGAACCTGGGTGCCCCAGGCCCTTTGCACTTCCCTGGTTTTCTGTCGCTCTCTCCATTGCTCCGTCCTCTTCTCACGGGTCCCTGTGTTCTTGGAGAGAGATGTAAATGTTTTGTTTGATAGTTGAAATAAGCAAATGTTAGGTGTGCTTGCACATACCACCAAAACCCGCTGCCAGTCCAGGACGCATCACAGTCCTCCAGTTGGGTTTCTGAAACAGAATATCTTTGCTCCCAAAGAGCAGGCATTTGAACCACGGACCTTTCACTCAGCACCACCACACATAAGGCATCATCCCACCAGGAGCTGCTGGGCTTTATGTGTCTACACTGAGACTGAGCGAATCAAATGCCACATGCAGCCGATTGTGAAATTTATGAGATGGAGCATGTGGACTCTGTTCTAATAATCAATGCCCCGAGCGCCCACTCTGGCCGCTCTGTGGGCTCCATCCTGGAGGGACTGACTCTCTGAGGCAGGATGCGCTGGGGCTTTGCTGCCAGGCCTTCCCTGTGCCCTGCCTCCCAGCCCCGCACGGATCCCAGCCCCGCACGGGTCCCAGCCCGCAGGGTCCCAGCCCCGCACGGGTCCCAGCCCGCACGGGTCCCAGCCCCGCACGGGTCCCAGCCCCGCACGGGTCCCAGCCCGCACGGGTCCCAGGTCCCAGCCCCGCACGGGTCCCAGCCCCGCACGGGTCCCAGCCCGCACGGGTCCCACCCCACACGGGTCCCAGCCCGCACGGGTCCCAGCCCGCACAGGGAGGATGCTGACGCAGCACACCACACGCCTCGCTGCTGTCGGAAGATTTAGTGGACATTAATTCTACTCGTCCTCCCTTCAGAGCCGAACGTTGCAGTTTACTAACAAAGCAAAAATGTAAATAAGCCCAACTCCTCCTTTATTTCTATTTTATTGGCCAAAAGCTTTTGTCAGCTTTTTCTTCCTCCACGAAGAGCAAGCAGGAAGCATGTTTAAATATTAAGGACAGTGAACTCACCGAGGAGTTGGGTTGGGACTGTCCCAGCTGAACAGTTCATCGCTTGATGAACATTCTGCTTATAAAAAGTGTTCCGCCCAGAGTGCTGGGGTCGCACAATGATTTTGTTTAAGACGAGATCAGAATAGGAACGGTGAATTCCCCGAATGCTTATTCCCCCCCCCCCCATTCTTCGCATTGACTTTTTACCATGCTCGGTTTTAGATGGAGCTAAGCCACTTCTCACTGACAACAGAAAGGCCATTGATTCTAACAGACCAAGACCCAAATCAGCCGTCTGCTTAAGCACACAGGCAAATAACCATCCTTTCTCGCGTCCAGTCCAGGGTGTTGATTGAAGGACGGCTGATCAGGGCAGCATCTTCCTGGCCATCAACAGTGACAGCCACACGACAGTCATTGACCGTCCATGTGGTGCGCACACCCTCTTGTTCATTTCTCTGCGCTTTGCTATTTTAAGGCTCCAGTCGCCACTGTCCCCACTCCAGCCATCAGGCTGGTTGGAGGAGGTGAGAAAACGGAAGGACAGTGGCTCAGGAGAGCCTGAGATTGTAGAGGAGTCAAGACAGCTGAGGGTGGGCTCCGGGAGCTGACAGTGGGGACTCATCACATTGCCCAGTCGTCTCGCTCAGCCTCTCCCACCCCAGTGATCTGTCTATCCCCCAGGGGCATCTCTGCGCATGCACCCCATCTGCACAAGTTCCCGTGAGGTTAGCACCTGATCAGTTACTTCACTTGCTTTCTGATCCATGT